CAGTTCGAATGCATCTTACTGGTAAAACAAAACCTGTGCGCAGATTTCTCTCTTGTGATATATTGTTGAGGTGTTATCAGAGTTTTTCATTCGGTATTCTTTGTGCGACATCGTGATAACATGGTTTTTCATAGCGGGGTTCTTAGCGCATTTTAAATCACCAGCACGCTCAGAACTGTCATGTGTATAAATGTGGTACTTTCAAAGCACAAATGCTTTTGCAATTGGATTGCGTGTGGACGTTGAGTTAAGGAGAATCTTTACCGCATAAATTTTCTAAGTATGCATGATCTCGTTTGCTGAATATTATGGGGATTGTGATTCTGGTTGCAAGTCCTTGACTAGGATATTTAGTCTGCACTCATCTCACAGAATGTTAATAACGTATGGTTTGATTGAAACAATCATGGGCCTCAAGTGGACTGGGCTATCTCTCTTTCAGGAAGATCATCACCTACAAATGTTGTTTACCCAATTGTAAATAGTCTTCTGAGAGCAAAGACCAGAACAATCATGGTGATTGCGATGAATTGAACGGAGAAGTGTATCTTCTCTGTATCGTTCCAATTTTATCAGATGTCCCCGAAGAGACATCCGATATCATGAATCGATTAGTTACGGTCAGAGAAAATTATACATCTCTAAATATAGTCCAGAAAGCTGCCTTTCAAATCCTCAGCTTAGACTTAGCGATGTACAATTAGTTTGCCAAACCAGATCTGAGATGTCTGCATGCTCCGACGTCACGTCATGCAGTGTTCAAGATGCGCAGGTGTGTACTTTACTCATCTGGACTTCGAAACACGAGTCGGGCATTGCAGCTGCAAGCCCTTGAAGAGATGAACCCTGCCGTGCGGGACGCCTTTGTCAAATGGTGGTCTTGTGATTGGATTCAGTGCATATTTAGGTTGAAGGTGGTGCAGAGTTTGTGAGACTTTGCTTTCTTATACTCGAAAATTATTTGAAATTGGCGGGCCTGGCAAATTTGCACAGCTCTACAGAAACAGCATCAGACCTGTGTAAGCAGTGTAGTTTGAGAATAAGCCAAGGTGAAAAGATAAGTACAAGCAGACGACCATTGGTCTCCTCAAAGAAGACGCGTGATGAGATGAATGAGAGAAGTACACCGTTTTTTTAGAGAGTGCCACGTAAATCGTTTTTTTAGAGTGACACGTAAAATCAATACAATGTTGGTAACAGTATTCACGTATGAGCCGTAATATCAAATACGCATTTAATTAATACATACAGACATGCCCGAATGCATTACTGTGATCGGGGCATGCCCCTGTGCCCTCGCTCCGGGGCATGCCTCTTGAGGGTGAACCTCCAACTCTACCTCTAAGGCTCTCTCTCACTCCTCGTTGGAGCATCCGTTGATCTAGGCCACTTCATCTTCTCAGGTAGCCACGTCAGATTTAAGGAAACTGTTAAATTGAACCGGATCCACGCAACACCCAACTGATCACGCGGGTGACAAATAATTAGCATAAACTAAGACATAACTAACTGCTCCCCTAATGAATAACATGATAAAACTAGAACAACTCAATTACATTAGCGTTTGATGATATGTTAAGTCAAGACAATATTTGTACGATAATTGTGATAGAGTTTGATGATATGCTGTAGTATAATTGTGAAACAATACAAATTGTAAGCAAAGATGAGTAATAGGTGATGATTGTAAACTTATAAATATAAACATAAGTAAGAGGTTAGATATTAATTATGAGATTTTGGATGCTAATTAACATACTTTAGAGATCACACACCTAGATGACTAAAGATGAGAATTCAAATACGTCAGGATATTTCTGAATATCAGAATTTTCAAAGTCTCATAACTTCAGATCTGCAAATTAATGATTACTCAAATCTTATTTAAAAGTTAACTTGTAATTGAATTATGATGATTGAGATTCATTTGATAAAAAAAAAATCTCATTAATCACGACGATATAGTCAAATCAAGCAAAAATGATTTGTACCAGGTAAAAAGTGAATCCACATATACACTAAGTGGAATGTTAAAATAACATACATACACATCATTGAAATAATACGTATTCACAACCTTGACAAGAAAAAAATGTGATTCGTAATTCCCGTACTACACTAAAGGGAACAACGAGTTCCTTAAAAAAACCTATAAATATTTTAAGCGAGTTGTGTCTCGAGCCCCTTATATATACATGATAGCATTACATCCTCGGTCTAATCTAACTATTATGAGCCTAATACTAACTCTAACTTGAGTTATGTTAATTTCAATTTAATTTGAGATCAATTTAATATGAACAATATCTTTTTAATTCATGTCTTATAAATAATATATTCCATAATGTATATAATTTACTCTGCGGGAATGTAAAAGGAAATTGAAGTTACAATTGCGTTAAATTCTACAAAGAGTTCTTCTATTTACACTAGAGTTAACTAGAACTAAGTTGCAGTCAAAACATGATAGAGTAAAAATATCAAGAGTTATCAAAAGTTGCTAATAAATTTTACTTGTGCTATAAAATTTGCATAGTAGCATAATGTTCTTTAAAATTTTTCCAAAGAAATAATTTTGGTTAGTGCATTAGTTAGATTGAATTTATCGTCAATCTTTACTAACTCAATCATTTTCTCATACATATCAATTTTGACAAAGTGATATGTGATATCAATATGTTTCATTCTGCTCTTTATCACTAGATTTGCAACACTTTGATTATCATATTGAAATTTTACACATACTTGTTCAATCCCATATCTTCATCAACCAAATAATTTTCAAAGAATTCCAACCAAAAATTTTATAGATAAACTACACTTATCAAATGTAAGATTGAACTTGAATCTATTATCAGTAGACATGAATGTACTAAAGCTTGTGCTTTAGTACAAAGAATTCTTAAACTAGCTTAAAATAATAAATTTATACTCATATCTCCACTTGACATAGGTAAAATTGACTTATAGTTTTGCAAACATTGTGTAAGGGATAAACATCATAAACAAACCTTTGATGTTATAATTCACAATATCAAAAAATCATGTATATTGATATATACAGTCACATGTAAGCACTTTTTTTTAAAATCTCACTTTTTGATAAATTTTACTATTTATTTTTTATTGATTATTATTAACATTTGTATGAATTCATTTCTTCACACACAAGTTTCAAGTGTTAACAATTATTAAAGATTGAAAATTCCAAGTTGAAATTCAAACTTGACACAAGATGACATATTTACAGCCAAATAATGATGTGTATTATACTTATGAGAAGTTTTGGAATTACTATAAAAAGTAAAGTATTACTTGTCATATCGTTATGGTTTATAGTATGTAACAAAGTGTTGTTTCTTAGTGGCTCAATCAAATAATGTTGAAAAGTGTACTCAATATGTTGAACAAATATGATTCACCATATGGATTTTACCAAATAAAAAAATGTATTTGATAAATTTTTTTTGTTTTTGTACAATCAATTGATTGACATTGTTTAAACTAAATCATAAATGGATGATTGATTATAGTATTATGAGAATTTTTGGTTATACGAATTGTATTCAAATATCTAAAAAAAGAAGAAAATAAAATTAGATAATAGATCAAAAAATATCAATTTTTTTAGATATGCTAGTGTTATGAAAAATTATAATCATGAGATCCAATAAACTATGAAATAATTATTAGTAAAAATATTTCTTTCAATGAACACCAATGATTAAAAGAGTGAAATTTTATATCTGTAATGATTAATTTTTCTTTCAAATTCCACTATAGATGGAACAAATTCCTTAACAACAAGAATTAGAGTAGTTGGTGTTAGTGTTATATATATATATATATATTTATATATCGCTACACCTCTAATATCTATCACAGGATAAACATCATTCAAAATTGGATTTCATATTACAACCCTATTTTCCAATGGTTAAAAGATGTAAGAATATGATGATGGTAATTGATACTGGGGAGAGTGAATTATCAAGATTTGGCTGTCACTATAACACACATATGCGTTAAGTGAAAAAAGCTTTTTACTTCTAGATGAGTCTATCTTTTTCCCCTTAGATTCAAGAAATTCTATGAGACCTCTTCCTTGCGTTTTAATCATGTCCCACCGAAGGAAGAAATATGAGTTCACAAATCAGAAAAGTTTGATCTCTTTTTTTTCATGCTTCAATCGCTCTTGCCTATTATTAATGAATAAGAAAGAAGTAAAATCTATAACCTTGGCTAGATCCAGCACGAGTGCCATTTGTCGGCAGATACGTTGAGTTCCATAGTATGGCTCGTATTATTATGTTATGATTTCTTCATAACATTGCACAGAAGGAAAAGACAACACTTGGACCTAGTTTATTGAATGGAGTTCAGAAATTCTCATATCGAAAAATTCATATGACTGCAGACTAAGTATATATGTTGTTGGTAAGGCTTCTTGCTCCATATGTTGTGGCTTTTGAGACTAAGTATTGCATGGATCTTATATTTCCTAAGATGACAAGTACATTATTTTTGGCACAAACTGATTAATTTTTTATTGATCCGATGACATATACGTTATGGTTTTGTTTCAAATATCATTGTTTCATTCTTTTCAGATAATAATCCAAACAACAGTTGTTCAAATTGTAAATGATACCAAATTCACATTCAAAATTGCACTTTAAAGTAACATATACAATACAAAAACTGCATAATATAAACATTACAATTTTGGATAAATAAATACTAAGAGTACATCTAAATTCAAGATTCAAGCTATCACAAGTGAAACAATAGAACGATAAATAAAATCTTTGATTTTATATCATAAATTTATCATATAGATTAAAAATAATACATCATACATCATAATTTTGTGACCAAAATAATTTCTCTTATATGATTTGAACAATATATAATATTTACCATAATGGCTTATGAAATCTTTTAACTCTATGTAATACTACAAACATACTCTATTACAAATTTGTTTATCTACTTAACTCAGTCAATTATCTAGTTTTCAGTTTACTACTTGACCTCAATAAGTTGAGGACAAGGAGTACACTTGCAACAATAAGAAGACCTCAATAGAAAGTCATGCACAACCAATGTAACTAGGCTTCACAGAATGATGTTGAGTAGCACTATTAAATAAGGTAATGATGAGATGACTCCTTTCTTCACGCGTTCGACAGCATGTGTCCATTTCGTCGGTAAATTTGGGGTTAAAAGAGAAGGTTCTACGGCCAACTCGTAGATAACTCTGCATTCTAACTATTTGAAATCTGAGCGGCCTTCTGTACTAAGCAGTCTCAAGAATGCCTCACCTGTACCATGAATCAAACGATTGACAAGGTTGATGTGACTACCCTGTAAATCTTTTGATTCATGATTCAGATTTCTATGTCACAACACAAGTATCATTTGCCCCGGGTTGATTCATACTATAAATGCTCGGGCGAATGTACCCTATGTTGTGAAATGAAAATTATAGAAGATATACACACATGGCAATGGTAAATGACTTGAAAATGAGTGGAAGGAACGCACTCGAAAATCGATCCCTCGGGTTTTGCCTCTCAGCATCCCTGGTGGTAGCAGCTGTCATAGAAAAAACGTAAAACTCAAGCATCAGATTGTACGTAGAAGAACAACGAAGCAAGAGAATCTCAACTGGGATACGCATGGACCATACAGTGAAACTCATCCACTGAAGTAAAAAACGAAAGCCAAAGCATGCTAGAAAACAACCAACTTGCATTCAAAAGAAGAGGTGAACGCTCATATCTCTTGTCATATATTGCTATGTCTCCTACGTGCAGATTGTAGTACCGGTGATGAGAGAAGTCTGGACAGAGCGTCACCAATCAACCTTATCTTTCTCTTAAGAGCTGTCAAGCAATGCATATACGGTCAATAAAATAACCACGCATACACAACCTGTGATTCCGATTTGAAAGGCAGAACAATAGCAACCCGTACAACCTGTGCGAATTCTGTTCTGGTCAATAGGAAATCTCACCTTCGTAGGTTTTTAAGTACAACAGAGACTCAGAATAGTCATCCGTCTTCCATCAGCACGTAAAATTTCGCAAAGTGAACACAAAGTCTGTGCGGTAAGCGTCACAACACCGCACTTATTTACATATACTAGTTATACAACCCTAATATCCACCAGAGCTTGAACAAAAGGGTGTAACTGATAAAACTTACTGAGTGCACCATATTCGCAACAGAAACAAAGTAAACTACTATGAAACAACAAAAGCTGGCCAGTTTCAAATGAAGAAATAAACGAGGTGAATGACTGATTCATGCAAGCACCAGAAAGTGTAATCGAAAGAGAAAACACGTTATAGAAAATGAAGATGACACGGACGTAACTCATACAATGAACAACGGAGGCAGGACAAAATAGTATTGAAACTAGTCCAGTAACTCTAATTACAGTATAATGAGTCAGCTCCGTTGCCAAAATTCACAGTCGTCCATGTTTTATAAGCAATGGCATATGAATGATGACTACTTAAGTGAATCGAACCAGCATGGATTTCAAGTCCCATCCTCTGAAGAGTATGAAGACACAGTCAGCTGGCTGGTTTGTTATCTGAGCAGCCCAACGTAGAGAATCACACAACATCACTAGGCACAAGAGAAATAAGCGAATTTGTGGTTGTGATCAACCAATAAGAGAGAGGATTGCAATAACCAATGAGACTCACTATCTCCCTGCTACCAGAGAGTTGCTGACGCTGTTCTTGATTCTAAGACTCATAAGCTGAAAGTCTGAAGACCGGAATCCCTAAGATCAGCACTTTACTCTTCCTATCTAATTTTCTACTACTTCCATGTTGACATCCATCAGCTCACGAATTGATTTAGCAAAGTGAACAGCACAGAATGTACGCAGCCCCAAGTTCGACCTCCTGATGACTTCAGTTTCGAGGTCAAATAAGCTCTTGGTAGATACATCTGCCATTCACTAGACTCGGGTACATGCATACTAAGAACTGCTGTCAAGCGAAGGTACAGCCAGTCGAGGGTTAGATAAAGAGACGTCAAGATAGATGCAACATCACAAATGATGAAATTCAATTATCCCAACCGGTAATCTCTGAAGAAAAGGTGTATTTGCCCCGAAGGAAGGTCTATCTCAGAGTGAACCCTATTTGTACAAGTGAAACATGCATTGCTGTTTAAGACATATACGTTCAAGCTGGTAATCTCGACCGAGTCGAACAATCGCATTTAGAAATCTGTGGATGGGACTCAGTTAGAACCACATTGCAAATGCATGCAAGATACAAGGTCTCAGGAAACACTGAACATCTAATCTGTCGGCAGACAGAAACTGAAAGTACAACACGAAGGACCCTTGCTAAGATTCTCGTCTCTATTCAGGTGTACAAAGAGACACCCTCTTAATGTGTGAATGTACACTGTACCCTCGTAAAATGTATATGGACAAGAAATTCTGAGAAATTGCCTAAATGGGTTCTTGTGTGAATGATGCAAGACCGCGAGTAGAGAACATCGATCACTACAAGACGAGGAGGAATTTGGGTGCAGTAACTCCCGTGATACTAAAGTGTTTCTATGCCACCGACAGATATTCTATACGAGATTGGCAAGATTTGCGATATATATCTAGCAACCAGTAACGATGAGCGCATACAATGCCAAAGAGGTCGCCGCGGTTCGGGTTCTAGTGAACAGATTTCTTCAGATAACTCGCAGTCCTCGCGAGCCACTGTCGGTGTTGACTCCTAGTACTGCGTAACTTAGGGTTCGGGCCCTTTCGAAAATCCATGTTTAGAATCTGTCGTAGAATGTGCTCGAAAGGTCTTGCCACTTCGATAAGAGGCCTAATTGGGACAACGCATCCGCGGACTCTATCTATTTACATCGAGACGAAACAAGACTTCGGAGCACATTCTAGGACAAACCACATACTCTTACAAAGCTTTGCAGGCTCTACCTATCTCCAGGTGATACGTCACCCAGCTGGCTTGATCTCTCCGGATGCCCCGTGTCGCCGTCTATACAAGTGAGGACGATGTCGAGTCGCCCAACCTCCAACAGGACTACTCAGGAACCCTGTATCAGGAGATTCGAGTCCGTCCTGAATTTCCTGTCGAGGCCCACTCGGGCTCTGCAAGCTGCTGCTCCTCCCTCCACTGGAACTGCTAGGCCTATCGTAAATTTCCTTCCTAGACCGATGGCGGCGTTGCTTGCTACTGCCACCACCCCAAACCGCACTGGGGCTCGCACCGAACGAGCTCGAGGGGGCCTCGAACTTCTCTTGCCGAGACCGAGTGGGACGCTGTTGCTTGAAAGCCCACCCACCGCCGCCACTGGGGCTGGCGAAGAATCCCACATCCAGCTGCTCCTGAATCTCTTGCTGCGGCCGGCTCAGCCGAAGAATTCTGGCCCAATCTCGACTCGGGCTGTTGAAGAACCCCACGTCGGGCGACTCGGATCCGTCGCGAATTTCCCTCCTCGAATGCGCCTTCGGGCGATGCTGCTGTTGCTGCTTGAAAGGCCATCCGGCGCTGGGGCTCGAGGCGAAGCCAGCGCCCGGAGCGTCGTTCGGGCGCGGCCGGACGTCGATTTTGACGAGGCGGATCACCTTCTTGCTGCCCAGAGGAGCGCCTTCCTGGCGCGGCAGCCGGATGTCCACCTTGAGAAACCTGACGCCTTTGTTCCCTGCGGACCGGGACCGGGACCGCTTGTTGACCGGCCGCGGGGGCCTCTGCCCGCTGGGTTCGAAGGGTTCGAAGGGTTCAAGGGGTTGGGCGACGATTCTGCACGAGGAAGGGCTGGAGGACTGACCGCTGGGTACTCGCAGGCCGCTGCCGCTGCCGCTGGCGCCGCAGCTCCGGCGCCGGGACGCGGGCGTGGGCGCGTCGAGCGTCGGGACGCCGTCCTCCACGTCGTGCCACTCGAGGACGTCGGTCTCTCTGCAGAAGAAGCACAGGAAGGCCATCATCTCTCCCCTCGCTCGATCCCTCGATCGCTCGCTCGGGCTCGCGATCACTCCGCTGCCATAGGCACTCGCTCGCGATGCAGTTCGAGCTTCGGTTCGATTCGATTCGGCTCAGAGCTCTCACGGAGCGCCGCTGCCGCTGCCGCTGCCGTCAGCTGATCCAGCCCTCATTGTCCGCGCGAATTTGTCGATGCATCGGCGCCTCAGCTCGCCTCAGCTCGATCGTCGAAGTGCGGAGTGCGAGCCCGTCGCGGGGCGGTGGTGGGTCGACATTTCGGATCCCGAGCGTGGGAATTCGATCGGGCTGCCACACTCGTTCGTGCTAACTGAACCGAATGCACGAACCGCTTCTCCCGAGCACCGACGCACGCACGCACGCACGCAGGCACGCGCTCGCTCGCTCGCTGACTGCTAGAGGATAAGCAGATGGGGTTGTATACTTCTTAGGCATGAGACAATATCGGCCCTCACAAAATCACTGCTGCACATCGAGAGGGAGACAGAGAGAGACAGAGTGTGAGGAGGTAGTGAGAGCGAGTGCGCTGCGGGCCATCCTCTCCGATTTCGCTGTACAGATAATCAGTCTCTCGATGTCGAACCAGGGAGGCAGGCATGCCTGCCTACAGCGCTGTGCGGGCCCTCCTGCTCCTGCCTCCTCCTCGCCCTCCCCGTCGTCGTCGTCGCCCTGGTCCACCTCCTCCTCCTCGACACCAGACGCAGACAGCACAACAACACTCGCACCTTTTCCCTCCTGCGTCTGCTTCGAATCCTCCCTCCCTCCTCCCTCCGTGAGCCGACGCCGCAGCTCTGCATACGACTTCGTCCAGATTCCCTCACAATGTCTCGGGTGCTCCGGTCAGACTCCTCCTCCGACACCCAGCGCCGTACCATATCCAGTGCATCATTATTGCTCGAGCAGTTCTGCGCCCGTGTCATCGTCTGTCTCCCCATCTCCCTCTCCTCACCGAACGCGACTGCAGTCGACGCCCAACTCGCTTCCCTGAGATTTCCCCGCTTCGTCTTCAGTCCAGTAGCAGTATACAGTACACTCTCCTCACACCTTCACGAACACCACGTACTTACGTGGTACCGTATGATAATTTAATCATGATGGTTTTCCCAGTACGACGGTTCTCTGACCGCAGTTCCCAAATACCGGATGCCGTAGACGTGTGGACTTCTCATGACTCCGTCGTACCTCCGAGACGAGCTTCTGAAGTTCTCTGCCCTCGGTCTACCCTCAACTAATCTAACGAGAATATCTCGGTACTACCAGGTCCAACTTCCGAGCAGAAGGTCGTCTCTGAGAGCCATAAAACGGGACCAGAAAGTGCTGAAAAAACACCAATGAATAGGCTGATAAATCTTCAGAGCGAAAAGGTCCTCCGATTAAAAGTATCCCAGAAAATACTACGGTCTTGTGGCTCGTGACCGACCTCACCTTTGCCTACTACTGTGGTTATCCGAGTAGAATTTCTGTGATAGGCGGATGCGGTCCGGTAGGGTTAGGTAAGCCCGTGACAGGGGTTAGGCGGGGTTTATTTAATCCATACTGGTTGAGACCCCCTGACACGGTTAGTGAGCAGTTCTACATTCCAGAGATATCATTACCTAGAGACTGCTTAGATCCACTGCTTTCTCTTTAGAAAGATGCGGTGAATAACTCGCACTATTTCATCGTTCGCTCTCTGTTCATGGTACTCTGTGATTATAGGAGAGTCCACGATAACCATGCAGACGTATTACGATTTCAGTGCCTCTTCTATGAGATACTAGAGTTAATAATTGGCTATTTCAGAATTTTTACTGATTTGAAGAATTCAGGATCGAGGTTGTTGTAGAGTATGTCTTCTAAAAAAAAGAAAAAGAAAAATTCTATTCTCCACAAATTTTATGAAATATAATAGGTGAGTAATCTAGAGAAGAATATTCAAAAATTTGGTGGGAAAGAGGGGGTAAATAGAGCAAGAGTTTTAGTTTTACTTCTCTTAACTATATGTTAACAACCATTACACAGTTATATTATGTGGTTTCAAGCACATCCATAACCATAACTATGTGCAATAGGCACATGATTAAAGTGTCTAATCTCAAGTAATTGCTTCTAAATTAGACGCAAATTCCAAATAAGATTAGGCATGATTAGACATCACCACTAAAAGAATTTGAAAACACTAAAAGCTCATAATGTTTGCATTGAAAAACTCATTCCAAAGAAAAATCTCTCAATGACATGTTGAATATATCCTTGTGAATATATTCAACATCGAGAAGTTGTTCTAGACCGGAGCTGTGTTGAGAAATGGCAAAACCAGCCTGCCAACGAAGTCAACTAGAGGAATGAAACAAGCGATTGAATAAAGTAGTGCCCACATATTGTCAAAACAAACATTGTAGATCGTAGAAATAGATCGCTTTCAAACATGTTGGATCATTCTTGTACATGGTGTAGAGCTTTGCAAATTAAGATATTATCTTGTTGATATCGAAGTAAGATCAAGTATAATCAAGCACAGCTTTTTGTTGGATGATAAGTCATTAAAGCAAAATAATCAAGATCTTCAATAAAGTGTATGATGTAAATGAAGGAAGTTGATCTAGTCGTTGCGTATGACATGAATGAATTTGTTGAGATTGTCATAGTCGCGAGATACACGGATAAACATGAAGTTCATGATTAGTTGTTGAACATATATCTATTGTTGGCTAAGCGTGAATCAATGATCTTAGAGTAGCATGAATGATCTCGTATAATTCTAGTGATCAGTTGTTGAACATTTGTCTATTGTTGACTAATCGTCATTGACCTTGGAAAAGCATGAACGATCTTTTATGATACTTATGATGATTCTTGTGACAACGTTTGAAATACTTCAGTCGTAATTTTTAGTTGAAAATCACAATGAGAAGATATTATTGAAATTATGAAATAATGGACATTGATCTCATGTAGATGTTCATTGAATTTGCTTGTGGCATTCAACATGACGTGACATAGCATCATAGATGTATTGAAACAAGTTGACTTCATCCTAAAAATAAACGTCTACTATCGACACAAGATTGTGGGACCGACGTCTCATACCATGCATCACCATCAAGCTTCAAGTATGCTCTTGTAATGGAATGTACAATTGATGAAGCAAACACCACACAAAAATGAATCTTTCCAAGTAATATTGTTCTAATCGTCTATGAAATCAACAATATGATCAATCATATCCAAGATCAATGATGAACATAGCTAAGTGAATTGCAGAGTAAAGTCGTCATGACCGTATCAATGTCTTTTAGCCATGATACAAGTAGAAATGAATGAATGTATTAGAGCTTTATATCGTAATGAATGCATATTACAATTTTTTTTAAAAAAGCATCAATCAACCTTATCAACATTTTGACAACTCACTTTGTCAAGATTTTAATGAAGTTGATCAATGCTTACTTCTGTTGCCGAGATTTGAATTCAATTCACTCAAATGAAAATCAATCGTCATAAAATCTAGACTATAACAGACGATGCAACTCAATTCAATATATTTGTAAATTTATTAGATCTTCTATTGTTGTTCTTCTTTGATTTCAATGTTAATCTAAACTAGTTAATCAAATCTATTACACAAAATTCAAAACTAACATCTCAAGATAATGTTATGAACCAAAAATATTTTCACAAGACACTTTTTGGTTCAAGTACCTTTCACACTAAAAGTGAAAATACGTGATGCAATTTTCTGACAATAATGCGTGTTTGTTTTGAACTCCCTGAGACAATGCAATGATGAATTGTTTTTTCAATTGAAAAGGTGTAAGTCAAATCATATGCAAAGAATTTTGAACCGTGTAAACCCATATGAGATCCTTTTGACGGGAGGAAATGAGATGCTAATTAAAGAACTAACGGTGCCAAATAGAACAAACTAGAACATTGATGTAGAAGAAACTCATGTAGCTAGTTGCATACAATGCGATCAAGAAAATCTACACCATGTGAAGAATGTCAACAATGATATAAAAGTACTCTTTCACATCAAAAGAAAAACCATGTGATGCAATTTAACTACAATAATGCGTGCTTGTTTTAATCTTCTTGATAATATGCACCAATGATTTGATTCATAAAATGGAAGAAAATTAAGTTGAATAATTTGCAAAGGATTTTGAACAATATCAAATCAATATGAGGTACTCAAAATCGAAGTGAAATGAGATGCTAATTATAGAAATAAATGTGTCAAACAAAACAAACATGGAAATTGATGTAGGAGATACTAATTGTAACACTAGGGTTTAGAGAGAAGCTCACTCGAAGATAGAAACGTAAACTCTGAAAATGAGAGATACCAACAATGGTTCTACTCTCCCTTATATAGCTCTCACCAACAAGTACAAGGTGATAAAATCTAATCCCCACCATCCATCCCACTCCTAGTGGATGAATGACGTGGCGGATAACCCTAACAAGCACACGGATCGCTGACGTGGCGCACCCAACTAACACACTAACTAACACACTCAATCTTTGCCTACAAGCACACGGATTGCTGACGTGGCACTGTCAACTAACACATCCACTCTGTACCTACCAAGTGCGCGGATCGCTGACGTGGCAGCTATGACTAGTGCACACTAAAGTATCTACATCAATATTTAGAGTAACCACTACTTTAGTTCTAACTAAAGATGGTTACAAACTTTCCTCCTTTTAAGATGCAACGTCCTCGTTGCACATACGTTCAAACTCCTGAACTATCAAAGGTGCATTTGCTAAATTTTTAGCTGGTTCCCAAGTTGATTCATACGATGGATAGCATTTCCATTGAATCAAATACTCTACTTTGGGATATTTATGACCTCGAATACATTTCTTGAGTATCTTTTCTACCTCAAACTCCTCATGATCTGCTATCAAGGTTGGAAGAGGAGGTGGTGCTGGTTGGTTGAAGAATTGTTTTGGTCGTGGTACATGTTTTCGCAATCGTGACACATGAAATACTGGATGTATTTTCATATGTGACGGGAGTTCCAACTTGTATGACACTTTACCAACACGCTTCAAAACCAAAAATGGACCAATGAACCTAGGGTTTAACTTTGATGTTCCTACAAGAGACAAATTCGTTGTAGATAACAAAACATGATCTCCAACCACAAAAATCATTTCTCTACGATGAGCATTGGCATGTTGCTTTTTCCGATTTTGAGCTATCACCAACTTCTCCTTGGCCTGATGTAGTCCTCGGTGAATATGCTCCACGAATTCGTTGACTGCAGACACTTTGGTCGA